CCAGCTCTGTTCTATCCTTTTTGCTAAGCCACCTGTAACTATGCATGGTGAGGATGTAAATCCCACCAACACGTAGGAATCCACCTGTGAAGGAACAAACTTCATCTTATCACCTGTCCTCAATGATTTCAAATGGACAATTAAACAAGTTCTGAGGAAAAGTTTGTCTGTCAAAGTTGTGGTAGGCAGACTGTTCTCCCCTCAATATGTCCACATCCTAGTATCTGGAACCTGTAATATGATGTTACATGAAGACAGGACTTTGCAGATGTTGTTAAAGTTGTAGACCTTAAAATATGGGGATTAACCTGGATTCCCAACCTAATCACAGGAACCCTGAAAAACAGAGTGAGAATAGCTAGAATGAGAACCATTGCTGGAGGGCCACCTGGAAAGCATGACAGCACAGTCATGCAGGAAAGGGACCTCATCCTACAGTCACAAGGAACCACCAACAAGCTGCCAGAAGATGGACCTTGTGCTACAGTCACAAAGAACAACCAACAACCTGCTCAAGTTTGGGGGCATAATTGACCCCAGATCTCCAGCGAGGTCTGGCAGACACCTGATTTCAACCATGTAAGCCTCTGTCTTCCCCAGCTCAGAAACTTTATTTACTTTTTCACTTTTGTAATGACAATCTTTTTTGGGTTAACATAAGTTATGCTTACACAATAAAAACAAAAAGACTCTGAACAGAGAGGACTCCGCTACACCACACTGTGTTTGGACTTCAGTCCTGTAGGACTGAAGATAATAAATAGGTTTTGTTTTAAGCCACTATATTTGTGGTAAGTCATGGTAACAATAGAAAACAATGAGTCTGTTTCAAAAGTAGCTAGGATTGTTTTGGTTAATAGTCAGGTGGTTCAGAAGGAATGAAATTCCTCCTCATCTGCATCCCTCATTCAATAAAGTAGCCCATCATAGTTACCACATGGTTGCTGGGGGATAGGAGGTTGCCTAAATAGCGCAAAATTGACATTCACAATAAGATTTGGTATTGTTAGCCGTTCCCCTTGTTTTTTCCTACTAATTTATTTTCCTCATTTTTGTCTTGTGGGTTCAGAAACCCTTGTGTCAACTAGAATCCACAGAAACTTACCTTGACTACTATCAAAAAGGGACTTGGCTCCTTCCATAGCATTTTCAAAGTAGGGACCTCAAATAAATATTTCTTGTAGATTAAATCAGTTATTCCATCACATTCATGGGACTTCCATTTTTTTCCATCAAATTCCATCAAACTCCACCAGAATTAAGTCGAATGTCTCACAGGCTTTAGTCTGGCAAAAAGAGCTGACTTTGCCAACCACAGCTTTTACTAAAGATATAAGCACAGGAACTTGGTGGAGATTTGCCCTTTTTCCAACCTCCAGGCCTGGTTGCCCAGCCCTGCTCCTACTGACTGTTGTCGTGTCTTATGGTCAAGTTTTCCCACACAGAGAAATGAGCACATCACCTTGCAAAGGCCAGTGGCTTTCATTCAAATGAGAGCTCAGAAATCTCTACATCTGATTGGATTAAAGCACGTATTTAAATCAGCGGTTGCCAATTCAACTCTCTAATCGAATAAAGTAGCTTCAGGGTGTCAGCCAATCAGAACACATCTAGCAACCTGCCAAGATTCCCCCTACCACCTCTGGAATGAAGCTGGGCTACCTTCAGGAATATGAAAGCTTTGACCTGAAAAATCTGTATTAATATAATCCATTTTCAGAATAAAATTCACACAAAAAAATCAGGAAATCATAAATATTTGACACATTTAAAAAATGAAAATCATTAGTTTGTACTAAAATTATTTTTGCTAATATTGAATAGTTATTTTAAAATAAACTTTGAATAAAATAATAATAAAGCGACCATTTCCTATAGTGATAAAATAAGTCACTCTCAAAACGCAACATCATGTGTGATGGGGAAATACCTCCTTCCCCAAGTGATGAGGAGTACCTGGAGCAGGAGCTGCTGGAGCCATTTACAGGTAGGAACACTGAAGTGGTCAGTGTGGGCCAGCCTGAGAGTAAGAACTCCCTAGAGATGGCATTTCAATTTTTGGAATTGTAATTTTTTTTCAATTTTTGGAAAATTCAATTCCAAAAGTGTAGAGGTAGGCAACTCACCTTTTCCTGAGTTTTTGCCTGTAGGAACTCTACCAGGTTCTCTTGGTACAAATAGAAAAATCCTGGTTGGGTATGGTGACTCACACCTGTAAACCCAGCACTTTGGGAGGCCAAGGGGGAAGGATTGCTTTAGTCCAGGAGTTTGAGAACAGCCAAGGCAACATAACATCATCTACTATATATATATATATAGGCCAGACAGGGTGGCATGCACTTGTAGTCTCAGCTACTCAAGAGGTTGAAATGGGAAGATGGCTTGTGGTGAGCAGTGATCGTGCCACTGCTCTCCAGTCTGGGCAACAGAGTGAGACCTCTGACTCAAAAAATAAAACAAAAAGAAAAATTCCCTCCTGTCTCTGGCAGGAAGGGAAAACCAACCCTCATGAAATACTCAGAAAAGGCTCCCTGCAAGAAAGACCAGCTCTGGAAGAAAGCCTACTGGAATCTTAGCCCACCTGGAGAATGGGTATTCCTCCCACTTCATTCACCTCTAGCCTTTTGGTTGCACTGAAGACAAAAACCACTAAGAAACACCTGTGAAGGTCACAGTCCAGGGAACAGGCCCAAAAAGAGGCTGAGATTTTATCACCGAATTATGGAATGCTTCTTCTACCCTGCACCCAGCACCACGCCAACAAGGCACTAGCAAAGTAAAAGTGGATTCTGGTGTAAAGAGCTACACAACACAAGACAGGGTGTGAAGGAGCTCTTAGGGAAACCCAAAGCAGGAGAGGAGACAAAAACAAGGATCCTAATGGAATCCAAAGTATCTGGTGCCTATAGCTGTAATAAACAGCCCAGCTCTGAGCAGAATGACATAAATGTTCACACTGATGGCTTTGGAACCAGAGTATTATTACCCAATACATAATCTTCAGTTTTCAACACAAAATAACAAGACATAAAAAAGCAGTCTAGGATAAGCATCAGGACCAGACTCAAATACAACACAGGTCTTCATCATTTAGTGTTGCTATAAAGGAATTCCTGAGGCTGAGTAACTTATAAAGGGTTAGTTTGGCTCACAGTTCTGCAGACTGTACAGGAAACATGGTGCTGACATCTGTATCTGGCAAGAGCCTAAGGAAGCTTCCACTCATAGCATAAGAGGGAAGGGAAGTCTGTGTGTGCAGAGTTCACATGGTGAGAGAGGAAGCAAGGGGAGGTGCCAGAATCTTTTAACAGCTAGTTCTCTCAGGAATGGAGTGAGAACTCACTCACTCTAGAGGAAGGGCATGAATCTATTGATGAGGGGGTCTACTCCCACCCCCCAAATAGTGCGGTTTCTTTGTCCCAAGAGTTGGGAAGCTGGGCCCCAAGGAATGTTCCCAGGACTGCACTGGCAGCCCAAAATCCACGAGGTGGCCAAGGACATAATGGCATCTTGACAGGGAATGAGAGAACTCAGGGATGCCCACAGCTGCACAGCCCCATGAATGGTACAGCTATCTTGGCTCCAGGGTCAAGCCATAAGTGGTGTTTACAACTCTGCTGGCTGGAGGGGGAGGGGAAGGGAGTGGCAAGCCAGGTCCTGGGAAGTGTTTACAACTCCCTTGGTTTGATGGGCAGGCAAGCCAGGCCTCCAAGCAGTTCTAAAGCTTTCTCAGCTAAGCAGTTCCAGCTCTTCCAGTCTGGGATGTACTGCTCTTCTAGCTCAGCTATTCCAGGTTCTTATCTGAAACCCAGGAAAAACGAGAAAAGCAGACACTGAAGGATTAGTAAGCTGGCATCTAACTCAAAAACAGGAAAGTTCTCAGCAGTGGGAAGGCACCAAAAAAAGGGTTGCTAAGGTTGCTGGGGCAGTCGGGGGTTTATATAGTCTAGAGAGCATGCTGATTGGTTGGCAGTAGCACCAATCAGAGAGAGGCACCATGGTGTGGGATTGAAATGCACCAATCGGGAAAGGGTTGGAAAGGGCACTCAAGAAGGAGCGCCTGGAAGGAGAAGTCTACGGACCTGGAAGTTTGTGTGCTCACTTCAGTTCCTGGGTATGGCAGCAGAAGTTGCCACCAGGGATTCGCCCTAATCTGACTATCAGGTTTTTCCTTTCTCCTCTCTCACAAACGCCTCCTACTAGGCCCCACCTCCAACACTGGGGATTAAATTTCAGCACGAGATCTGGAAGGGACAAACATTCAGGCCATAGCAGTTCTCTCTTCTCAACCCTGATGATAAGAACGTTACTTTCCTTCTAGTATAAGGAGGACATCTTCCTATGGGACTTGCATCTTCTGCTTTTAAGAAACAGCAGTAAGTTCAGCGTGATCTTGCACCTGCTCTGTGTGTATGGTGGTGGTGGTGGTGGTGGGAAGGGAGGTATTTAAGTGTTTTTAACTCAAGCTAGCCAATATGCTGAACAGGCATAGCTCCTTCAACATCTCAAGTCTCAGAACCATTTGGGGAAGGGAGTTCTTTGCAGATCATAAGGGGTGGGGAAGTCTAACCCTGGCTGTTTTCTCAGAAAAAGCTGAATACTGTCACCAGGTAAAGGTGGAATGTGGAATGCTGGCTTCCAGACGGTTCTTCCCACATTAGCGGTGAGGGAGTGGGGAAGGGAAGGGAAGGGCCTAGGGAGGAAGTAAAGCACTGAGGAAAGAGAAGAGGAAGCCTGTGCGGGAGAGGAAAGACCCCTGCCGCCATAGTCTACCCTAACCAACCCTGGATAATGCGGGTGCTAGCTCTGGTGACCACCACCAACAGGCGCAAATATAAGCTGCAGGCGTCAGAGCAGAGTGCTCCACGGACCAATCAGAGTGCAGCCTGCCATGGCGCCACCCGGCGGTCGGCCAATGAGAATGTGGCAAGCGCTATAAAAGGGGGCACCCCCTGCGGTTTTGGCAGTCAGCGAGGGGCGAAGGTTGAAGTGCTATCTCTCGAGTGATGGCCCGCACGAAGCAGACGGCACGCAAGTCCACTGGTGGCAAGGCACCGCGGAAACAGTTGGCCACTAAGGTGGCTCGGAAGAGTGCCCCAGCCACTGGTGGTGTAAAGAAGCCACACCGTTACCGACCTGGCACGGTGGCCCTGCGCGAGATCCGCCGCTACCAGAAGTCTACCGAGCTGCTGATCCGCACACTGCCTTTCCAGCGGCTGGTGCGTGAGATTGCGCAAGACTTCAAGACCGACTTGCGCTTCCAGAGCTCAGCTGTGATGGCGCTGCAGGAGGCGTGCGAGGCCTACTTGGTGGGGCTCTTCGAGGACACTAACCTCTGTGCCATCCATGCCAAGCGGGTCACTATCATGCCCAAGGACATCCAGCTGGCGCGCCGCATTCGCGGAGAGCGGGCCTAGGCCCCGCGAGAATCAGTCCTCTGATGGCTGTCACCCCAAAGGCTCTTTTCAGAGCCACCTGCCTGGTCGCAGAAATGGCTGTAGCCAGCCCACTCCCGCTGGCTGGTGCTGGCCCCGCCCTCTTCACTGACCTATCTCCAATTCATGGGTGTTATTAGCTCGACCTAACCAATTGGGGCCCAGCCATTCATACTTTAACTCCCAACCTATTTCCAGTTAAGTTAGAGACTTTAGCTGTGTGAGTTTTAACTTGCTGCACATCCTTTAAAAGGACAGTTAAGAATGTGATATGTACTGCTACCCTATCTCCAGTTGGAAAGCTGTCTAGTTACATATGTTTGCTCAACCTATCTAAAGTTAGCTTAGAAGTCCAGCTAGGAGTGTGTCACCCTGCTTACAACTCCAGTTAGTCTCTGTTAACTCATCCTCTAGGTTTGAGGTGTGTACTCAGCCTACCCCTAGTTAGAAGTCCAGCTACTTATGTGTTGTCGACTTAGCTTATCTTGTGTCATGTTATCTCCTGTCAACCTATCTCTAGTAAGGGTAGGCACCTAGCTGGTTGTGGAAGTCCAGCAGCTATTTGTGTGTGTTATCTTGGCCTAAGTGAAATCAACATTGGGAATCCCCAACCCTAAAGTTCAAGGAGGACTCTCTGCCCTAGGATGTGAGTTTACAAAGCAATTGCCAGTGTGGATGATCCATGTGCCTGGCACTTTGAACCATACTTCCCAGCCTTGCAAAGTAGACTGGCAGTTCTTGGGATGAAAGGCAGAGACCAACTCACTGAAAAGTCCTACAGTTAGGGTGGCAGGCCATGACCCAGTGATAGATTTACTTTGGGATATCCTGAGCACATCCATCAGGATTACACTTTTTACCAAAGCGTGGAGTCATTTATTCATTCAGAGATTTATTAACAAGCCAAGTACTGCCCAGTGCTGGGAGTACCAAGAGAACAAAATCTTTTTCCTGCTGCCACTGCTCAGTCTGCTTTCAAGAAGCTTATAGTTGAGTAAAGGAGGCCTGTATTGTGTGTGGAAGCAATGGTAACTCTCAAAAGTTGCTCTTAAAATAACAACAGGCGTGCATAAGATGCTATCAGTGTCTACTATTTCTTCATGCCCACATGTACTCAATATTTAGCTCCCATTTGTGAGAACACGTGCTACCTAGTTTCTGCTTCTGAATTAGTTAATTTAGGATAACAATTTCTTGCTCCATGTTCAATATCTGGGTGACAGGTGCACTAGAAGCCCAGTCTCCACCACTACACAATATACTCATGTAACAAACATGCACGTCTACCTCCTGATTATAAAGTAAAAAAAAAAAAAGCTAGGAAAATACTGAATATTCCCAACACAAAAAATAAATATTTGAGATAATGGATTTGCTAATTACCCCAATCTGATCACTATCCATTGTATGTACTGAAACATCACCACGTGCCCCATAAATATATATGATTATTATGTGTCAGGTAAAAAAAAATTTTTTTAATGCTATCAGTAGGTAACAGCAAATTTTTGAAGTCTCTTTGAGGCCAATTTATATTCCATCAACAAAATGTAAAAGGTTCATCAGTTAATTAGCACATGCACAACTGAATATCCTATCTTGTAAATTTTAGGATGTATGTAAGTTGGTGGGTGACAAATCCTTGGAAGGCTATTCAAAAAGCTTGGAGGATCCAGGGACAGTTGAGTTCTGATATGACAGTCAGCTCTGACTCAACACTAGACTCCTTATATTCTAATTTTCAGTGCTTCGAAAAGTCCTTATCCTGGCAAAGTGTTGTCCAGTGGTGGAGAGCTGACTATGTGTGACCTTGCAGAGGATCCTGCTGGGTGGCCTGGAGGGAGGGAGAACTGAAGCACTCCTTACATGATGGGAAATCAGGTGCAGATAATGCATTCTTGGCAGCATGTAAGATCGAAATCGACCTTTGCCTTTTCACGGAAGACTGAGCCACTTGAACAGTAGATCCTTGTCGTTTGGGTCTTTGTATCAAGAACAGAGTCTAAGCCAAGTGTGGTGGCACCTCCTGAGTACCTGTAGTCCCAGGTACTCAGAAAGCCAAGGAAGGCAGATAACTGAGCATAGGAGTTTGGGGCTGTAGTATGATCACACCACTGTACTCCAGCCTGGGCAACAAAGCCAGCAATCATAAATGGATGAGAGAAGATAAGAGTGGGGAATTGGGCAACACAGGGAAGTTTATGTCTCAGAACTGATTTGTTGAGGACCTGAGGTGAGAAGCTAAGGGAAGAAAGAGAGAGGCAAAGAAGCTGAGATACAAAAAGGAAGAAACCAGAGTCTGCCAGGGCCATGTAAATGGGGAAGCCAAGAAGGATTCCACACTCAAATTTGAATGTGTCCCCCAGGATCCTGCATGGGGTTTTGTTCGCTGTGAGCAAGGAGATATTGTCAGTGTCACCCACCAAGCACAGCAGGGCCAAGGAAGCCATGCAGGGTTCTGCCTGCATTTGCGGCAATGCGTGGGGCAAGGGTTCCCATGTGCACCACAAGCTGGTGAGTAGTGGCTAAGGCATAGGTGGGCTAGCACCCGAGGGGCTGTCATGGTCTCACCCTCTGGTAACTGTGCCATCACCGTTGGCCCAGCCCATGGTGCCAAAAGGGAAGATGATGTGGGAGAAGCTGGAAGACGAGAGCACCCGGTAGAAAATGCTGGGTTTTCTCTGGCTGGTGCATCTGGGTCACTCAGGAGACTCTTAGATGAGGGTTTCAATTCATTGCTTTTGGTTATTTTATAAGACTGTAAAACCATGATAGTGAGGGCTGGAGTCATTGCCTGTGTGTCCTGCCCATGTGGAATAAGACCTGACACACCAGCACCTTCGAGCATGTGTCTGTTATGAACACAGGTGAGTGAGGGAGTTTCTACGAGGAATAAGTAGTTTGAGAAACCAAAAGTTGAAATGCCAGAAATAAGCTGTAGAAAGAAATCAGAGTTGGGCGTGAAAGGCTGGCAGAGCACCTTCCCAGGTTAGGCATGGGGGCATTTTGAGGTAACGTGCAAGAGGCACAGCTCTCTTCCTGAGAGCCGGAGGTAAAGCTTCATGTGCATGATCATCCCTGTGGAGGGGTGAAGCATTCTGTATGACCAAGGGAAGAGGAAGTGCACAGAGGGACCTTGTTAAGACAACGCTCACCTTTACTTGACCTCCCCCAATAATGTAGTTACTTTCCCATAGTCAGTCAATCTGGTAGAGAGCACTGAGGCATAACCATGTCTGGGACCTTCATTCAATGTTTAGACTCCCGTGTACATGTGAAGGTGAGATCTGTGTGCTTTCCTCCTGTTAATCTGCCTCATTTTGTGTTGGTCAGTGCAGGCTGCTGGAACAAAATGCCATGGACTGGGTGACTTATAAACAACAGGAATTCGTTTCTCACAGTTCTGGTGACTGGAAGTCCAAGGTCAAGGCACCAGCAGATTCAGTATCTGGTGAAGACCTGCTTCCTGGTTCATAGCACCTTCACTATGTTCACAGTGATAGAAGGGCTCAAGGGAACTCTTGGGGTGCCTTTCATAAAAGGACTAATCCCATTCATGAAGCTTCTACTATCATGACCTAATCACATCCCCAGAGGCCCTACCTCCTAATACCATCACTTTGGAAGTGAGGATACCAGCCTATGAATTTGGGAGGGACACACATTCAGTCCATACATGTGGGTTTGTTTTTATATGACCCAGTGGACTCTCCTGTTTAGGAGTCTAGGTTGAAGGATACAGCCCCCTTATCCCACTTTCAGGAGGCCCTCTTCCTTTGCATTTAACTCAGCATATTTTATTTCACATGAGTACCTATTTTTTCTCTCTCATATCTGTTCTGCAGTGTTAATAACTTGATGGGCTAGAGGGAAGAACCCACACTGAAAGCACACCACCAGTTGTTCAACAAGAGCACAGTGATGTGCATTGTTAATCTTTTAACAGTTCAAATAAGACTTTTGTTTCAGAATTGACATTGATGCTTTCACTTAGATATTTCATTTATTTTTAAAAGACAATCCACAGAAATGGTATAAAATTTAAGAATCCTAAGAGGATATATAGTGAAAATTGAGACTCCCTCAACAGTGGGACCCTCAGTCCTTAGCCTTCCTCTTCAGATTGAGTTCCTTGTGTATTTTTCAAGTGTATATACAATAGGCTAATTGTTATTTTTGCCTAATGGTGGCATATTTTATGTGTTGCTCTACAACCTATCTTTTCTTACACCTGTTTATTAGGACATGTAAGAACTATCTGATTTTTCCTGATGACTTTATAGTATGACTTTTCAAAGATATTAAGGCTATTTCCAACTGTTTTATTGTGAAGATGATATATTTCTCAGTTCAATAGCCAGGTGTCCCTAAAAGAGCATTCAGAATGAACATCTTGAGCTGACACAGTGTTTTAACAAATATGTGTTGAATACCTGGTGTGTAAGGACAAATATAAATTATAAATAAGATACTTAAGGAACGATACCTCTTCTCTTCTTCCTTTCTGTCAGAATTTCTTCCTCTGTCCTTTTCAAATGTATGTACATCTTTTTATGTCTAAACAAACCTCTTGCCAGTCTCATGCTTCAGGAATATGTCCTCAAGGGCCCGGGAGCTATCTCTGAAATTTAATTGTAGGAAAGGGGGAAAAAACTTCCTCTAGCCTCTTAGGTTTTGTAATTGTGGCCTGCAAATTAAACTGACATAAGACAGTTAATCGGAGGAAAGGCATAAAAATTGTATTGATGATGATATTTGTATGTGCATGAGGCCTCCAGAAAGGAAGTGAAAACCCAAAGAACTTTGTGGGCTCAGATACTTATATACCATCTTAAACAAAAGGTGATAATTGTGGGAAGGTGACTATGGCATGTATAGTAGGTGAGGTTGTTTAGTAAGGATTGTTTGTGCAGACTCATCTTGGTGCAGCATTTCTATCATCTTCGTGGTCATAAAAACTCCCCAGAGAGGGGATTTCTGGT